ACTTATGTAAACCTATGGTATATTCATCATCAGTATTTGGATATTTGAAACCTGAATGAACTGAATATTTAATTGTCTTTTCAACTGGAAAAAAATTAGAACAGCTCTATGCATTAAATGCTGAATAAACCCCTCTGCTCATCACCAGTATGGTATTGTTTAAATTGTACTGATTTTAGCAAGGATTTGGCAGGGAAATGCTTCAATTAATCATCTCTCTATCTAGTCAAGCCCGGTTATAGAAGTGGAGGAGAGAGAGGAGGATAGATTACTTTGTTCGTCCTGACCCAGCCAAATTACAGGTATTTTTAAAACATCACCCCAGACAAGATGTGAACAACCCTGTGGTGAAGAAGGTGTTTACCAGTAGAGGTGGCATGGTAAGACAGTGGCTGACGTATTGCAACAAACGTCATGCTTTGTTTTGTTTGCCTGGCCTTCAGCAAGGCAACTGACTCAAACTGTTTTGTGACTGGAATGTCAGACTGGAGACATGTGCAACAGAGAGTTGAAGAGCATGAGAAAAGTATGGCACACAGAAACTGTGCTGAAGCTTACTTTTTAAATTGCTCTGTCACAGAGTTGCCCTCTGTTCCCTCTGCCTAGCCCTTTTTTGCATTAAGACATAAACACATACTTGGGTTTTAAAACGCTTTATTTACCTTGGAGCAAGGTGGAGAGATGGATGATACCCACACACGCACATCCACATTTACACACCTGAACACTAAAACCAGTGGACATTTAAGTTTTTCTTATAAACTGTTGGCTATTACCTGGATCAGCATACATAGTGGCGGCCATCTTGAACTGAGTAAAAGACCCGAAAGGACTTTTGTCAGCCTTTTTATACCTTTGCTGTGTTGCATCATGGGGAGTGGGAGATACCAAGTATGAGTGGAAAGGGGTGGAAACTGTTTTATGAGTTCTTGTATTTGACTTTCTATAATTATTGCTAAATTGAAGTTATGGTATATTGTGCTATTGATATTTGGTGTATTGAAGGAAATAGTGTTATTCGATGTTTAATCCTTTTATGTGTTAATACTTCATATTATTTTCATGTGATATTACGGCTTCTGGGAAATGGTTGAACCCAGGTGTATACATTTTCACGTAATGAAGCAGTCAGGAAGTCTTTAGCTGGGGTGCAGTAACTATTGAGGAGTACTCTGATTGAATCATTGTTATACTTGAACCAAGGTTGTTTGTTTTTGTACTTTGAAGTAGGATTTTTCTTGGTACCCGTAAGGGATTTCCCCTATGGAATTTTTTCTATGTTTTGCACCTGTGAGCACTCTGCACTTTATTGGCTTGGGAAAAACGAAACGAAAAGAAAAGCTGGCATTCAACGTCCTCCATTCATTGTTTGAAGAACTCTAGATGGTACCTCTAGTGGGACTTTGACATGCTCAAAAGCTGACATTAGCAACCTGTTAGGAGCCAGTCAACTGAAAGCGCACAGAGATCAGGTAAAGAGGAGACGTCAAGTTTTGGAACGGGTAGTAGAGGTTGTGAAAGTTATAGGAAAGAGAGGCCTAAGCTACAGACAGGTGGAGAATGAGGCTGCATATATGTTGGACATTGACAGCATTGACCATGGAAATTTTTTGGAAATGATCATTTTATTGGGGAAGTATGATATCTGCTTGAAAGAGCATCTCAGCAATGTTACTGAGAAAAGCAAAAAAAGGCATGCATCAGGATCAAGAGGCAGAGGTTCCCTCATTACTTTACTGTCGAAAGCTACTGTCAACTCTGTAATTGCTACCATCCATAACTTAATTCAGCAAAATATCTCCACTGACATCCAGAAAGCTGGAATGTTTTCTGTCCAGCTGGATACAACCCATGACATAACAGGACAAGACCAGTGCTCAGTCATTTTGAGGTATGTGACTAATGTTGTTCATTAGAGACTTGTCGCAGTGGTCCGTTGCCATGAATCCACTGGACAGTCCTTTGTGAAGTTACTGACAGAGGTCCTTGAGCATCTGAACCTGGATATAAGCATGTGCATTGGAAATTCCACAGATGGGGCTTCAAATATGCAGAGGCAGTACAGAGGCTTCTCTGCACTTCTGGCATCACAATCCCCCAACCATGCTCATGTATGGTGCTATTCACATGTCCTCAATCTTGTGTTGTCTGAGACCACACAAATTGTGATTGAGAGTGGATCACTTTTTGATCTGCTTAATGACATAGCAGTGTTTATCAAGGATTCATACCAGAGAGTGAATTTGTGGGAGAAACAGAGTCATGACAAGAGACACAGGTGCATTGGTCCGATTGGAGAGACACGATGGTGGGTGAAGCACAATGCCCTGAAAAAAATATTTGGGTCATTCGGTATGCCTTAAGACTGTCTATACATTGATGTGGTGTCGACACTTGCAGCCATACAGGAACAGAAGACAGTGCAAGCAAATGTACGTACCAAAGTCAGAGGGTACAAAGAGGGCCTGCTGAGGTATGAGTCAATTCTGACAGCTCAGTTGTACCTCTGTATATTTGAGCATACAGGTCCACTCTCAAAATACCTGTAGACGGGAGGCATGGACATCCTCTCTGCCCATAAGATGGTCATGTCAACACAAGATGCTCTCAAACAGATAGCCAGAGATTTCCAGGCTGTCAAGGATGCTGCTGACAACTTTGTGAAATGGGCAAATGAAAACATTGAGGAGCTGGATGAGGAGACAGACATGGAAGTGGAAACTGCACTGCCACAGAAGAGAATAAAGAAGAAAAAAACCATGCCAGGAGAGATGGCTCAGGATGAGACTATGAATGATACAGAGAAAGCCTACTAGGTAAAGGTTCACAATGAAGTTCCTGATACAGCTATTGAGTCCATCCACCAAAGATTTCCGACCCATGGCACTCTTTATGCAGAGTTGTCCTTGCTGGATCCTAAAAACTTCCCCCTGATCCAAACCAGTGCTCTCCCAGAATCTGCTATTGAAGATCTCAGCAAGTGCCTGAGTAAATTTGATAGCAGGGCAACAGTTGAAAACCTGCAGTCAGAGCTGAAAAGCTTAGCAGGCCAGTGGGACAAGCTGAAACAATCTCCATTGAAAGAGTACACAGTCAGGACAGTAGAGGAAGGACCTGATGGAAAGGAAGAGGATGTGGATATTAAAAACAAAAGTTGTGAGTCCTGCAAAGAGTGCCCACTGTGCTGCTTTCAGATTCTCCAAAGATTTAACATGCTCACAGATGCATATCACCTGCATACAAGTTCTTGCTGACAGTCTCAATAACCCAAGTGGCATGTGAACGATAATTTTCAACCCTGAAATACATAAAAAGCAAGCTCAGGAGTTGCCTGTCTTCCAGTCACTTAGAAGCCTTCATGCTGATGGTCATTGAAAAGGATATTCTTATGGCTTTGGACACAGACACTGTAATTGACAGACTTGCAGAGAAGAGTGAGCTGATGAAGAAACTGATGTTATAATGTGGTCAGATGAAATTATTTGTATTATTTTATAATAATTCATAACGATGTAGCTTTTCACGCTAAAGATAATGTGATCTTGTGACTCATTATCCCCCTCCACCTCTTTCAGGATGTTCTCTCTTGTGTGGTTCAGCGTTCATTGTTGTTGAGTGGTTAGATGGCCATGCAGCCTTCCACGAAGTATATAGTACATCCAAATCTCTCAACATTGTTCCAGATTAAAGATACCAGTATTGTTATGTAATTATGAATTTTCTGTGATTACTTAAGTCAATTAATTCTCATTCACCTTTGTCTCTCTTTGTGACCCCCACCTTCTGTTTTCTCTCTTAAAGGCTTTCCTCGTTTGTTTGAAGAGAAGATTTTAGAAGAGAGTCTTTACTGCAGTGGAATTCACTCTTTTATTTCGTATGCAATTTCTAATCAAATAAAGTCAAGTCAAATCAAATCAAATCTCTTTGTTACACATCTTGTACACAAGTGTACCAGCGGTGAAATTTTTATGTGCAAGACTGTTGTTGGCAGTATAAACAACAAATACAAACTCTTCTCTATTTTTCTCTGTCTTCCCCTGTTATTCTTTTTTAAGGTTGCATTCCTTGAGGAGGTCTTTGTCCATTGGTGTGGAGATGACTGGCAACATTTCTTGTAAATGTTGTACACAGTTGTATACCGTTTATACATTTTATTAAATAATCTGAAATTATACTTGACCTTAAGCATCCATCCATCATATATATATATATATATATATTGAATTGTAGTGGTGGGCCACCTGGACCAAAAATGCCAAGGCTGATTTTTTGTCCCAGTCCAGCCCTGGACAAGGCCAAAATAACAAACAAAAATTAACTAATTTTAGTATACCCTTTAAATTCTCTAACCAAAATAAAACATAAGAAAAAAAGAAATACAACACAACTTCCCTAACTCCCTTAACCCAAAACATAGAACAAACAATATAAAAGAAATGGCGTCACACTCCCTACTTCCCTTAAACTAAATATTTACAAATACAATTGGAAATCAGCTAAAACAAGAGCTTAATTCTCATTCACCTTTGTCTCTCTTTGTGACCCCCACCTTCTGTTTTCTCTCTTAAAGGCTTTCCTCGTTTGTTTGAAGAGAAGATTTTAGAAGAGAGTCTTTACTGCAGTGGAATTCACTCTTTTATTTCGTATGCAATTTCTAATCAAATAAAGTCAAGTCAAATCAAATCAAATCTCTTTGTTACACATCTTGCACACAAGTGTACCAGCGGTGAAAGTTTTATGTGCAAGACTGTTGTTGGCAGTATAAACAACAAATACAAACTCTTCTCTATTTTTCTCTGTCTTCCCCTGTTATTCTTTTTTAAGGTTGCATTCCTTGAGGAGGTCTTTGTCCATTGGTGTGGAGATGACTGGCAACATTTCTTGTAAATGTTGTACACAGTTGTATACCGTTTATACATTTTATTAAATAATCTGAAATTATACTTGACCTTAAGCATCCATCCATCATATATATATATATATATATATATTGAATTGTAGTGGTGGGCCACCTGGACCAAAAATGCCAAGGCTGATTTTTTGTCCCAGTCCAGCCCTGTATAATAGTCAGTCAAAGTTATGACTGCTTAACCAGTAGTTTAGGCCAAAACATTAAGAGAGGTAACCTCTCTCATTCCTCCATTATACCGATTCAACTACCCTCTTCTCCTTCTCCTTCTCCTCATCCTTCTCCTCCTGCCTGTCCCTGCTCTGGCCCTCATCACTTACAACAGAGCAACAAGCCTGTTCATCATGGCTCGTCACCTGCTCAGCCTCTTGCTGTTGCACAGACTTCGGCACTGCTGTCAAAGTAGAGGCTACTGCAGCAGTAAACATATCTGTAATTTTTGCACATTTGGCGGCATCCGCCTCCAAACTTTTAATTCTCTCTTTCCCGGAGCTTTTCAGCACCACCTTTG